CGACCAATTCTCTCATATAAGAAGCGACTTGCAGTTTCTCAAGTTGCTCCTGACATGGAAAAAAAATCTGAAGGAATGTCATATAGAAGATGGAGCATGTTTCTCACCCACTGACAATGCTTGGTCTTCACTGGACTTCTCCTCCCCCCCCCCCTTGTCTTGCTAAATCTTTTTTTTTATAAAATTCTACACATGTTGGGGTTCCCCTGAGCACATTGTGTATCTCAGTAATTTTGCCAGATGAAACATACTCTCTGAGTAAAGTAGTAGAGAGGATGACGATTTGGACAAATTTGCTTCAGGGAATTAGGGTAGTCGTATTATTTTGTTCCATGTGGGGAATTCAAGCTCAACTTTGGAGGATGACACTGTGTTTTTAAAACACAGAATTAGAGCATCTTCCTACGGAAGCATCAAGAATAATGTAATATCTAGGTGAACTCGTATTTTCATATTCAATTGAGTAGTTTAGCGGCAACTGCTAGCTACTACTGAATAGATAGATGCATGTAAATGGCAAAGAGTGCTGATAAGACCAAACATTTTAAAATAGAGTTTTTTACAAGCTGTCAGTGTTTTCTTATTCTTATAAAATGTAGGAACTCCTAGCCACCATAAAATTGATTTCCTGTGTCTTTAAGCAGGCTGCTAGTAGAAGGACAGTCAAACTTTAGGGCAAATAGATTTATGTAAATCAATGAATGGAATAAATGGGTGATACTTTTCCAAGCTATATGCAGCGGATAAACAATTTATTGAGTTTGTGACTTCAGTGTGCCTTGGGTTTTGTTTCTTTCACAAGGTATTCTTGGTCATCAATCCAACCAGGCATTGTTCCTAATGCAGCATGCCTATTCCTAGCTAGCTACCACTGGTCCTAGTTTGAACTGTATCCTCCCTCTAGATATGAGTGCCTAGCAGTTTAATTCATTCTTTTACAAAATTCTGATGGGAGGAGTCCCCGGTGGCTCAGTGGGTTAAACCCTTGTGCCAACAGGACTGAAGTCTGACAGGTTGGAGGTTTGAATCCAGGGAGAGTGCGGATCAGCTCCCTCTGTCAGCTCCAGCTTCCCATGCAGGGACATGACAGACGTCTCCCACAAAGGATGGTAAAACATCAAAACATCCAGACATTCCCTGGGCAATGTCCTTGCCGACGGCCAATTCTCTCACACCAGAAGCAACTTGCCGTTTCTCAAGTCGCTCCAGACACAACAACAACAAAAAGATGGGATGGGATATTTGAACAGTATTTTAACAGCATAATCCTATACATATTTACTCAGAAGTAAGTTGCACTGAGTTCAGTAATGTTCAGTTATTGTCAGTTAAGCTAGTACATGACTCTTTAGCTCACTCTGCATTTAAAATAGACTTCCTAAAGCAAGGTAACTTAAAAAATCAGGTTGGTGGTTTCTACTGTCTTTGTATCATTATCATGAAAAAGGTAGCAGAGCAGCTGTCTTTTGCCTTGGGTGGATGTTTTGTCAGCTGTTGCTGGTTAAGTGAGAGACATTTTGCTCACTTCATCATAGAGCTAATGCATGTAGACATCCCCCAGTGTCTCGAGTGATCTAAAAGCTCTCTGTATGATGCGTGACCTGTGATGGGACTCACTGAAGCCTCACAGGATATTGGACTCTAATACAGTAAAGGATATTCATGAGCTTACAGCTTGATCCAGTTTCATCTCTACGAACACGACTTGAATATGGATGTCTTTTTCTATCAAATTGCAGATATGTATCAAAACAAGCTATTTGTATTGGTATGGTAATGATTAGCGAAAACCACTCTGATCTGTTCTTCTGCAGGCATTTTGCACTATGTGATCCTCCTTTGAGAAGTAGTTTCCATTTGAGTAAATGGTGCCCAAAGAACGTAGGATACATTTAGCAATTCACCTCTTCCCATGTTCATAGTGAAACTCCAATTGACTTTAATCTTTAGTCTCTGTACATAGACCATACATGTTATTGAGTAGCTAACTAGTTTCCAAACAGTGACTGAAAATACTGCAGATTTCAGTAGATGTTCCAAGATGACACAACTGTAACAGACAGATGAACAGACAGGATATGTTGAAATATATAGCTATGCAATATTGCATGGTATTAGGAAAAAAAATAAACATTGAAAGCAATAGAAGTTGCATCTTTTAAAAGCAGGACATATTGAACATGACACTCATAGATACACTTCAAGATGTATTATCCATATAATTACTAGCAACTCTGACTAAAATAAAATGGGATTATGTGAACACAATGTGAGAGTAGATAGGCTGTTTTTATTTCCTGTTTAGTAGTTCTGAAATTCAGAACTTAATTCCCCAAATTATTTTCACATTTAATATCAGATGTCTATGACCAGGATAGTGAGATTTTTAAAAGTAAAACATGATGCGATATTTTCAGAAATTCTTGATTGGTCTATCAGGTGTTCTGTTTCTCTGATTGTTTTACCTGCTCTTTTCACCAGCTTGAACTGGATGAAAAAGAGACAAGTTGGTCTCCGGTTGGGCAGAAGTGGTGAGCGGGAGGGCTTATTAGAGGAATCTTGACAGAATGGCTGTTCTTGGCGGTATCACACAAGGTGCCCCTAGACCTTTGGAGAAAAGCATGAAAAGAATGTCTGGCCTGGAAATAATGGTTGTTTTCAAGGAACTCAGCTTGATTGCCCAACTGAACTGAATAGAGGCGGGAATTGCCCTCTCTCTTTTCTTACCATGTGGGGACGACGGGGGACAACTAATTGGCACTTTTCATGTGTAGTCCATTTTCAAAATGTTGGCTGATTCTAAAACTTTCATGTTTAGAGTTTTTTTTTTAAAAAAGTTGGCTATTGCCTATGTCATTGCCTTTGCATTGCATTATTCCAAGGTTGCCAGTGTGCCTCTCAGATTGTGCTGAGTGCTGGCTTTCTATGTTATTACAAGTCAGTACTATCGGGAATGGCACACATGGAGCAGTAAATAGAAAAATGGGATTCTTTTTAACCCACCCCTTTTTTCTGACTCTCTATTTCGCTCATGGGCATTGTAATTGTCAAAAACTCTAATTGTGGTTATATCTACAAAGCTCAGTTCTATAATTCCAGTGAGTAGCCTTTTCATAATTGATAATTTCCTTGGGCTCTTTTAAAGACAAATTTAAAAAAAAATCAAACAAATGTGTTTTTAACACTTTCATAGCTGAAGTGTTTGCTGTGGACTTTCTTATAATTTGTCAAAGGATTTTATGGCCAGAATCACTGGGTTGTTGTAGGTTTTTTTGTGCTGTATGGCCATGTTCTGGAAGCATTCTCGCCTGAAGTTACACCTGCATCTATGGTAGGCATCCTCAGAGGTTGCCTGCCATATATGCAGGTGTAACGTTGGGAGAGAATGCTCCCAGAACATAGCCATACAGCACAAAAAACCTACAACAACCCAGTTTCTTATATTTTTGTCCTGTTTTTACAGATGTTGTTCAATTAGCCCATTTGTTTATTTGATTATATTGCATATCTCTTCTTAAAGGTTAAGGTAAAGGTAGTCCCCTGACATTAAGTCCAGTCATGTCTGACTCTGGGGTGTGGTGCTCATCTCCATTTCTAAGCCGAAGAGCCAGCGTTGTCCGTAGACACCTCCAAGGTCATGTGGCCAGCATGACTGCATGGAGCGCTGTTACCTTCCCGAGAGCGGTACCTATTGATCTACTCACATTTGCATGTTTTCGAACTGCTAGGTTGGCAGAAGCTGGGGCTGACAGGGAAAGCTTCACGCCGCTCCCCGGAATCGAACCTGCGACCTTTAGATCAACAAGCTCAGTAGCTCAGTGCTTTAACCCACTGCGCCACCGGGGGCTCCTATCCCTTCTTACACATATGGAAATCCTCCTGATGTTTTAATATTGTCCGTACAAATGTAAAAAAAAAAATGGTACAGTTAAGTTTTTGGTGAATAAACTGCTCATTAAAAACTGACATTTCATTTCAAAAAGGGAAATTGATACCATTTATTATCTTTACAAATTTTAATACATATTTTTCCTTCTTGTGATTCAGCATGCTTTTCTGCCACATGCTTTCTGCTTTATCTTTTAACACTGGGTTAATATATGGATTTGTTTTAAGGTCTTATTTTGCATTTCATGTGAGGAAATGAAAAAATATAAATGAATTGCTACATTGTGGGGTATAGGTATTAATCTCTGCAAGGACACATCAAACTATAGATAGGTGTTCTGAATTAAGTCAAACTGTGTCCGGATGGATTAATCAGAGATACATAGTCTAAGCTGAGCAATATGAGATGAAAACCATGGACTGAAAGCACAAAGATATTGTTGATTTTTTTTTTAAAAAAATGGATTTCAAGGGCATCCTTTTGTACAATTTCAGATAGTGCACAGTAGAATCTGGACAGAGAAATGTCTGATGTTGGAAGGGTTTTTTTTAAAGGAGAGCTATGGGATGGAAATCTACAACAGGCTTTTTGGAGCCCTGGCATGATTTCTGAAAAAAAAATCTCATGTTTGTGCTAAGGGATAAACACCATACCTAGAGATCTTATAAAGGGAGATCTACGTGGGCCACAGGACAATGTCTCAGTAGCTATGTCTCCAATTACTAGCATTAGCAGGGACCTCCAGGGATTCTTAGAAGGTCTCTGCAAGTGACGTCTTTGTGACACACCCAGCTACAAGAAAGTGGTTGAATATGTCTTTCTCCATCCTCTTGCTCTCTAATACAGTAAAAGATGGGTTAGAGTAAGGCTGTACTGCTTTTATTTTTTGTTGTTAAGGGGAGGGTATTTTTATTATCATGTAAGTGGAACAGAACTATGACTTCCACAGTGTAAGTCCTACTTATGTCACTGTAATTCCCCAACTAAATCTTCGGTGATCACTGAAAAAAAATCTTATATGGTGAAGAAGAGCATAATTACATTCTTTAGCTTTGAACATGCACATTCAGTTCAGTAAGCATAAGGCTTCTTTTTTTAAAACAAGAATCTGAAAGAGCCACTTGGACATTTGAATTAGCCACCCGAGTCTAAGAAGACAGTTCCTATTCCAGAGACAGCATGGGAATGGATTAGAGAACTTCTTGTGGTCATTTGTTCTCTTATGTGATGCCGTGACACTGAACAAGACAGATGATATTATGAACAAAGCCTACCATTTATAAACCAGAGGTTGAAGCTCCCAAGACCAACCAAGCAAAGCATATCAAAGACCTTCCCCTCCTGGAAGTTAATTTCCCATTGCTGAATTATATCTGTTTATACTCAGATGAAAAACAAGAACAACCAACAAAACAAAAAACCCAAAAGAAGTATTTACATCTATGAAAAGTCCTAACATCTGAGATGCTTTTTGCTTGACATGTCATTCCAAATCCTGTGCATCTCCTCAGGCGATATCTGATGCACTGTGATAACACGCCGGTATCGACACAGGCTATATGCCATCTTCCAGTGATTAAAGCCACTGTTTTGGAAAGGGTGGATGCCAAGCTTCCGCAGACAGAGTCCCACGTACACGTCTTCAAGATGAAGAAGTCTAGTGTGGAGAGATGTTTTGTAAATCATTTCGGCCACATCAGCAGAAAAAATGTAGCCAGTGCCTGAGCAAAACGGTGGGTAGTTGCTGTCAGGATACAAGTCTCTAGGCATGTACCATTTGCTACGGGCGTCCCTGATTGGGCCTCCATTGATCACATAGCCAGTGAAGTACCGCCTTCTTGGCTTAGTGTTGGGTTTAAGCAATTTGTAAATGAGGTTGTCCATATTTACAAAAATATCGCTGTCTGTTTTCATGATATACTTGGCTTTTGAACAAAAGGTAGCCACCCACCGCATTCCCATTAAAGTTTTCAGAGTCAGGTTGTGATAGGAGTCAATGAAATCTTCCACAATAATGTCATGGAAAATTTGACTTTCTTGCTCCACCATCTGGTTTAACACAGGGTCTGTGTTTTTCCCCAAAAGAAAAATAGTGGAGATTTTAATTCCTTTGAAGTTGTTCTCATCTCCCCAGGTCTCTCGAATGGCCTGCCTGGCATCAAATTCTTTATGCGTTGTGCTGATGAGGATGACCAGAAAGGGGGCATTCTTCTCACACTTCTCTGGCTCGTTTATGAGGAAATCAAACGAATGGGGATTTATTGGCCGAGTCCTGATATTGCCAAAGGAGACGTTTTTTCTAGCCATTGAGATGCTGTCATATGTTTTGTGAACTGTGTAGGATGAAGTGGGACGAGTTATGCTTAAGTACCAAAGAGCACTCGCCCAGCACACAACTGTCAGGACATACAAACACGAGACTTTGGAAGCCATTGTTCTTGGTGCTCTTCTATTCAGCAGAATGAATGAGTACCCACTTTACCATTACCACCGCTTGGCTCCACAGAGGCAGCATGTTATTTTCCGGGCCTTAAAGTTCGACACAGAAAAGCATACTTATTCATGGAGACCACTGAAATGATTTAAAGCCCAAATGGTGTTTCTTCACTTGATTGGCATGAGCCTCCATGGCCTGGGGTGATGTGCTATTTCTGAAAAACAGAAAAGATTTGCTTTATTTGGATATTTGCAATTATTTGAAATGATAACTATCAAAGATGTTACTGTATTTTGAATGACAAATTTATAATAGTATATTATAAATGCATATTATATGCATATTATGAATAATTATAAATATTTAAAAATAATAGCATATTTTTAAAGTATTTGAAAATGGCTATGATTTTAGGAAGCCCAACCCTCTCTTTTAAAAGCAATGGTGTTATATTATTATTGTAAGACTTCAGGAATTTCAAACGAAGTATCTACGAGCTTTACCTTCTGTCCCATGAACCACCATAATGGCTTATTTCAAGACTCAACACTACCAGAAAGGGCAAGAGAGGAGTACCACTAACATTAGCTCAACTAGCAGAGATAGGAACTAAAATGCTGATATTAGATTTGTTAAATGACTTTTTAAAAATCAGAATGCAAACAATAATTTTGCTCAATGAAATGTATGGGCCCTTACGCCAATAAACGATATGGGGCATAGGACAAGAACATGTTGCCTTACAACATTGTCTGCACTCTCCATCAACATTTTTCCTGCTATCATCTGTTTTTCAGCCTATGGTTGGCAGGTGTTATGCGTGGTGTGAAGCATGATAAGCAGCAACAAGAACATGATGGAAGGAGAAGAAGAAGCTTGTGCTACCTTTCATCATGTTATTGAGCCTCAGGTTGGAAACGATTGCATGTAGAATGAGAGAAAGAGAACAAAGAGTGGGCAAACAAGAAGATGGCAGGAAAGAGGATAGATTTTCTTTTTCATTTTATCCACAGCAAACTGCCTCATATCCATTGTATTTTTCATACTTTTGGGATCTCTTTTTTGAACAGGGTATGCAGCTATGGTTTGATTTCATATATGTGGGTAAATTTTGCTTTCTTCTTTGTATTCATCACTACGTTTCAATTTTATTTCTGGTTCTTGAGTGCAGCTTTATTTGATCATACCACCATTCTCTATATTAACAGCTCTGCTTTTGGAATTTGTGAGTACAGGCAGTCCCCAAGTTACAAACATTTTACTTACAAATGACTCATTGTTAAAAACGGGGGTGAGACAACAGGAAGTGAGAGAAATCTACCCCTCGGAAGGGAAATTCACCCTGAAAAGAGTTATCATAGGGAATAGGTTTCTCCAATGAAGCTTTATCATCAATCCTTGTTTCCACAACATGTCAAATCTTTCAAAATTCATTTGTCATAGAGACAGAAAGTGAGATGAAATCTTCTGAACAGGGGCGCAGGCAGCAAAACAAACACCACAGAAGCCTTAACCTTCCCCTATGATATCCAAAGGTAAATATTAATATCTATTTGGTTGAAGCTACAGTAAAAAAATACCTGTTGCAACTTACATACAAATTCAACTTAAGAACAAACCTACAAAATCTATCTTGTTTGTAACTTGTGGACTGCCTGCACTATATTTCTTCTATACTAAAGCACACTTTTTTCTTTATCAAAACATCTCTAAAAATGCTGTGCATCTTAGAATTTTATGTATTTTTGTTGTTGGTACTGAAATCAGTTTGTCTCTTACAATCAATAGCATTTTACAGTTGAAGAAATACAGTATTATTTTGATGGGAGATATATGGGGTGCTGATTGTTCTTCAAGGACTCTTTTTTCAGATTGTAGGGCACATAGGTTAAAATCAGGGACCTTGGCGGGAGAAGGAGTAAAGCAGATATCTATATATCCAGCAAAGGATCACCGCCTTGTCGGGGCGCTGGAGCTTGAGCACCTCAATGATGTCATGAGCGAAACCGTGAAGGGCCACCCAAGACGGGACGGTTGTGGCAGAGAGGTCAGACCAAGCGTGATCCCTGGGGAAGGCAATGGCAAACCACTCCAGTATCCTTGCCAAGAAAACTAAATGGACCAGTACAACCAGAGATATGTGGTATGCCATTGGAAGATGGGACTCCCAGGTCGGAAGATGGCCAAAATGCTACTGGGGAGGAGCAGAGGATAAGTTCAACTAGCCCCAGATGTGATGACGCAGCTAGCTCAAAGCCGAAAGGAAGGCTAGCGGCCGACGGTACAGGAGGTGAACGACGAATCCGATGCTCTAAAGATCAAGACACCATAGGAACCTGGAATGTAAGATCTATGAGCCAGGGCAAATTGGATGTTGTTATTGGTGAGATGTCAAGACTAAAGATAGACATTCTGGGGGTCAGCGAACTGCAATGGACTGGAATGGGCCACTTCACATCAGATGACCACCAGATCTACTACTGCGGACAAGAGGAACATCGAAGAAATGGAGTAGCCTTCATAATTAATAAGAAATTCGCTAAAGCGGTGCGTGGATACAACCCAAAAAATGACAGAATGATCTCAATTCGAGTGCAAGGAAAGCCTTTCAACATTACAGTGATCCAAATATACGCCCCAACCACAGCTGCTGAAGAAGCAGAAGTAGATCAGTTCTATGAAGATCTGCAGGACCTACTGGATAATACACCAAAAAGAGACATTATTTTCATTACAGGAGACTGGAATGCCAAGGTGGGAAGTCAAATGACAACAGGATCACAGGCAAGCATGGTCTGGGAGAACAAAATGAAGCGGGACGCAGGCTGATAGAATTTTGCCAGGAAAACTCGCTGTGTATAACGAATACTCTCTTCCAACAACCTAAAAGACGGCTTTATACATGGACCTCACCAGATGGTCAACACCGAAATCAGATTGACTACATCCTTTGCAGCCAAAGGTGGCGGACATCCATCCAGTCGGTGAAAACAAGACCCGGGGCTGACTGTAGCTCAGATCACGAACTTCTTATTGCCAAATTTAGAATAAAACTAAAGAGATCAGGGAAAATACACAGACCAGTTAGATATGATCTCACTAACATTCCTAGCGAATATACAGTGGAAGTGAAGAACAGATTTGAAGGACTAGATTTAGTAAACAGAGTCCCAGGAGAACTATGGACAGAAGTCCGCGACATTGTTCAGGAGGCGGCAACAAAGTACGTTCCAAAGAAAAAGAAAACCAAGAAGGCAAAATGGTTGTCTGCTGAGACACTGGAAGTAGCCCAAGAAAGGAGGAAAGCAAAAGGAAACAGTGAAAAGGGGAGATATGCCCAGTTAAATGCGCAATTCCAGAGGTTAGCCAGAAGAGATAAGGAACTATTTTTAAATAAGCAATGCATGGAAGTGGAAGAAGACAACAGAATAGGAAGGACAAGAGACCTCTTCCAGAAAATTAGAAACATTGGAGGTAAAGTTCAGGCAAAAATTGGTATGATAAGAAACAAAGATGGCAGGGACCTAACAGAAGCTGAAGAGATCAAGAGAAGGTGGCGAGACTATACAGAAGATCTGTATAGGAAGGATAATAATATTGAGGATAGTTATGACGGTGTGGTGAATGAATTAGAACCAGACATCCTGAGGAGTGAGGTTGAATGGGCCTTAAGAAGCATTGCTAAAAACAGTATAATACAATCCCAGCTGAACTGTTTAAAATCTTGAACGATGATGCTGTCAAGGTTATGCATGCCATATGCCAGCAAATATGGAAAACACAAGAATGGCCATCAGACTGGAAAAAATCAACTTATATCCCCATACCAAAAAAGGGAAATGCGAAAGACTGCTCAAACTTCCGTACAGTGGCCCTTATTTCTCATGCCAGTAAGGTAATGCTCAAGATCCTGCAAGGAAGACTCCAGCAATACATGGACCGAGAGTTGCCAGATGTTCAAGCTGGGTTTAGAAAAGGCAGAGGAATGAGAGACCATATTGCCAATATCCGCTGGATAATGGAGAAAGGCAGGGAGTTTCAGAAAAACATCTACTTCTGCTTCATTGACTATTCTAAAGCCTTTGACTGTGTGGATCATAATAAATTTTGGCAAGTTCTTGGTGGGATGGGCATACCAAGCCACCTTGTCTCTCTCCTGAGGAATCTGTACAAGGACCAAGTAGCAACAGTCAGAACTGACCACGGAACAACAGACTGGTTCAAGATTGGGAAAGGCGTACGGCAAGGCTGCATACTCTCACCCAACCTTTTTAACTTGTATGCAGAACACATCATGCGATGTGCGGGCTTGATGAATACAAAGCTGGGGTGAAAATTGCTGGAAGAAACATTAACAACCTCAGATATGCAGATGACACCACTCTGATGGCCGAAAGCGAGGAGGAGCTGAGGAGCCTTCTAATCAAGGTGCAAGAAGAAAGCGCAAAAGCCGGGTTGCAGATAAACATAAAAAAAACCCAGATTATGGCAACAAGAATGATTGACAATTGGGAAATAGAGGGAGAAAATATGGAGGCCGTGACAGACTTTGTATTTCTAGGTGCAAAGATGACTGCAGATGCAGACTGTAGCCAGGAAATCAGAAGACGCTTACTTCTTGGGAGGAGAGCAATGTCCAGTCTCGATAAAATAGTGAAGAGTAGAGACATCAGACTGGCAACAAAGATCCGCCTTGTCAAAGCCATGGTATTCCCTGTAGTCACCTATGGATGTGAGAGCTGGACCTTAGGGAAGGCTGAGCGAAGGAAGATCGATGCTTTTGAGCTGTGGTGTTGGAGGAAAGTTCTGAGAGTGCCTTGGACTGCGAGAAGATCCAACCAGTCCATCCTCCAGGAAATAAAGCCCGACTGCTCACTGGAGGGAAAGATACTAGAGACAAAGTTGAAGTACTTTGGCCACATCATGAGGAGACAGGAAAGCCTAGAGAAGACAATTATCCTGGGGAAAGTGGAAGGCAAAAGGAAGAGGGGCCGACCAAGGGCAAGATGGATGGATGGCATCCTTGAAGTGACTGGACTGACCTTGAAGGAGCTGGGGGTGGTGACGGCCGACAGGGAGCTCTGGCGTGGCTGGTCCATGAGGTCACGAAGAGTCGGAGACGACTGAACGAATGAACAACAACATATATATATATATATTTCTTTTATTCCAACAAAAGGTTTTTATTAGAGTACTTATTTAACATAAATTTAA